GGTTAAGCTAGCAGCTAGCATCACGTCCGTCTGCGCCCCTCAATAAGTACGTATCTTGGGACCGCGTCTGTTTGGTCTTTGGTGTCTTTGGTCCATGCCAGACTGGACAGAATGCTTGACATGGAAGGTCAAAGGCAGATCAAAGGAGCTGAGGAAAGTTTCCCCGAAAGCTGGTGTGGGCCTTGCTTTTGGACCCTTCGGGCACGTTCGGCAAAGTCCGGGCTTGTTCAGCTTGTCGTTGGGATTCGTAAGGTATGACCCAGGGAAGGTCTTCCTATGGTGGTCCTGTCCGACCCTCTGCCCAAGGCCTCCTCCTCGCCCCTCTGGCGAACTTTGGCATGGATTCGGCGAAGGCAACATGAGAGTCGGGTGTTCTGTTGCGCAAAATGTCATGCAAGCGGTGCTGAATTGCCTCGTGCATGTCCCAGCAGCATACTTGTAGATACTTGTAGAATTGCAACAACATGACATGTAATGAATCACAATCAGAATTCACTGGCGATAGCTCATTGCAGAATTCAACTGAGCCGGAGACACTCGGAAGAACACCACAACTGGAAACCGCGTTGGACAACCAGGTTGCAGCACTTCCAACCATCTCGACCAAAGTCTCGGAATTGACTTCACAAGCAAACTGGCCCACATCATTGCGCGGCTCCGGGCACGTATTAACAATTGCTTCAATGTCGAGGGAAGTGCCGCCAATGCTGTCAATCGTCTCCACGGCATTGAACACGCAGAAGGCTTGACGGAAGTTCTCTTGTTGCTTCAGGTCTGGGTCTCTGATGCCCACATAGGAATTTAAGTTCGTCCTGGCATGTGCATCCAGGACCTTGGAATTCTTGTAGAGCTCCGCATTCTGGAAGTGGAAGTACGGATTGGGATGTGCGAGGGAGCGAGTATTCGGCGGGAGCTGGGCGAGCTTGTGATGTTTGCTTTCTGTCTTGGCCGCCTCCAACGCCCTAGCAACCATTTCGTCCGCCTCCGCTCTCGACTTTACCTGACACTGCAACGTGTGAGGCGGGGAACCGGGAAACCTTGATCCGTCAAGGCCGAGGCACCTCACGGAACTTTTTCGCTGCAGACTCGATCTGGCCCTCTTCAGACAGCTGGAGCGGAGATGCCTCAGCTTAAGCTCCGAAAAGCTTCGCATCTCGAGGACTCTTCCGCGGGGAGCCGCACCTGGAAGAGCGTGTGAACCGGAATCTGGCACGGGTCGGCCATGAAGAGCACCGTGGCACCGAGGGCCAAAGCCCCCATCGAAATCCCAGCAACCTGCAACGAACTCCGGGGGAAGGTTTACGCATTAGCGGGTAACTAGCATGGTGTTCGCAATTGCCAATGCATAGCGGGCTGTGAACCTTCCACCGGCAGAGACGCACCGTCTGAACTGCCGGCTGGGTGGTTAGCTCTTCTCCCATCAGTGCCTCCTCTGCATCCTCATGTCAGATGCTGCCATTTGCTCTACATGGCCTGCAAAGGCTGAAGCAACTGTTCGTCACCCCTTGTCCTCTGCCAGAACAACCATGGCGGCATCGCGCGCGCTGGCCTCAGTTTGTGCGCGGTGAGCAGGAGCATCTGGGAAACAAAGAGCAGTGCATGCAACGAGTACAAGCAAAACATGACTTCACAGTGCTCTCATTGCAGTTGCTGGACTCCGGCAGCATCGGAGGGTATCTGACCATATTCCATGGCTGGCAAAAACCGTCGACCTACGAGATCCAGCAGACGTCCAACTGACGGGTCTGAGCCAGTTTCTGCCGATGTATCGGTTACACGGATCACACGGAGCGGTGAGCTCTACACATACGACAGGCAAAGCACGTCGCAAGCAGCCAGTCGCCTTGTCGACCACCGCACTCAGGTTCTGCCAGTGCAGGGATTTGTTTCTGCATCTTACAACGTCTCGTCAGATGCACCCCGTCCTGCTGGTAGAGCGCTCGCGAGACTGCCTGAACTCGCTTTGTGGCATCCTTGTCCGAAACCTTCAGCACCTTGTAACAAGGTGCGCTAAGCACTGAAGCTCGCAACAGAAAAAGCTCCTAAAATTTGGGTCCTAAAACAATCAGCAGGCGTCTGGTCGCCTGACAAAGCCTTCCCATCTCATAGCGGGATGCCTCCTGGCCAAGGTTGCAGCAAAAGTTGAGTCGATCGATGTCACATCTTGGTCTGCAACTTGCTGCAAACACCAAGAACCATTTTTCAGAACATACAATTCAATAGTACTTCAGCGCAGCACTTTCCGTGCGAGACACCTGCTTGCTTCTGTCCAAGCAGCAGGACAACTCTGCAATCCGAGCAGAGACAGAGCCGAACACATCCTCCGCCAAACCCCAAACTCCAGCCCGAACAGGGAAGCCCGTCCTCCGGTTCCTCATCTGCAAAAGCTCGCTGCGAAAGGAAAAGAAGCTTGTCCATGGCAATGCGCATGGGCTCACCCTGTGCGATGCCGGGTCGGTGGTGTTTGGTTAGGAAGATGCTTGGACCTGCCTCGAGTCCCGAATACCCTTTCGAGACCAGCAGCTGGGCAGCATGCCTGGATGAACACGAAATGTGCAGCATGCGTCAGTCTGCTTACTGGCGTGTAGCTCGGGCCTGTGGGCATTCCCAACCACGATGCCATCCAGATCAAGCACGGCCTCCACGCTGCAAGAAGCTGGTGCAAAGCACGAAGAGTGACAGAAGGGTTCGACGGTTCAACGACGTTGAAGTGAAGCGTCTAAAGAAGCAGCACTCAGGCCGCAGCCTTCAGTCTCTGCAGCGTTGGCAAGTCGTACGGATCATGTTCAGGGCCATCCAGAAGGCTCACCAGCAACTCCTCTGCCAATGACAGACGCAACATGCCCAAAGTCTGTCCCTTCAGCCAATCCAAGCCTCGTATATCTTCTGCAAAGAGTTATCCTCCCAGCCTTCACCTTTGTCAGATCGCTGCAAACTCTCTTCTTGCAACTTCTCCTCCGTCTATGAGCTGGACTGGAGCGATCATTGGCCGGAACCCCAAATCGCCTGATCAAAGGTGGGGTGACGAATACCAAGACCTCAAGTGCTTCAAGGGCAGATTCAGTTGCATAGCCTGCGCTGCCGATGGATGAGGCTTCGCAGCTCTTCGGTTGGCATGTCCTGCAAAAAGGCACAGTATTTCTCGAAAGGGTCCAAGAACATTGTGACTGCTTTGCCATGTTCTCACACAGGGCCTCTTGGATATGGGTTGAGAGGAGTCGAGCTATAGCGCAGCTCGCGGCATCCTGCGGGAGCAAAGGCAAACGATGGATATTCGACGAGCGAAGGTGCCAGAGATGCAAAGAGAATGTGGCCTTCTTTCCTTGCTTCAAGAAGGCTCCAACAAGAGTGCCTCCGACCAGGAGAGCTCAGGACGTTCCAAGCGATTCACCGCCACAAGCCTAAGAGGCAGCCCAGCGCACTTGCCAGGCCCTGAGCAAGCCGTGTGTGCCTGCGCCGCGCGGCGTGGGCAGGAAAGCTGTGAGAACCTGATCTCCTCTCGCCCTGTGCCTTGGGCAAACGGCGGCAGCCAGAGCGGCGAGCAACGGCAGTACCGTGTACACGCTGAGGATCTCAGCGCTTTTCTAACAAGCCCTGCCCGCAGGGCCCAAGGCTAGACTTAGATTCTCGGCACAACTATCAGATCCCACTGCTTTCACACCTCTCTCGGGGCCGCACCGGCATGGGCACGGCGGAAGGAAGATTGGCCAGCACACGCCCGGCCAAGTGGGACCTGGACATGTTGCCAGAATTGCAGCCCAACTTACTTCCCGCAACAGAAATCTGTCAAGGACAGACAAGTCGGTTCTGCTTCCTTTCGGAAGGGATGCACTGTTTCCTGACGAGATGAAACCTTGGCTACTCCGGCGGCAAGGGACGACCGCGAACGAAAGTGACCCGCAGTGACCCTTCCCATTCTCTGCACGAGATGGGCTGGAAGGCAGCTGGAACCGCCGATGGGGCTTCGTGGTTGTGATCCTTTGGGACCAGGTCAGAAAGCTAACCAGCTACGGAGCCTTGATTTCAACCATCTCGACTTTCCACTCTGTTGGGTACGGTCTCAGACTGCCTGTGCACATGGGGCTCTTTCGATGACGTACAAGGCACAAACCAACAAACTCTGAACCCTCACGGCGACTTTTGCTCTCCTTTCGGCCTTTTGCTTAAGGCTTAGATTTTATACTTTTGCTTGGCACGCCTTGGGCAGCTCGGCGAAACAAAGAATTGATTTATATTGCAGCCATGTGCACTCTTTTGCTTGTGTGTTGTTCAATTATTGTGATCTAATCTTCTTCGCTAACAGCAGCAGCTCATCCCACAACAAGTCGATATGCAACTCAGCTTGTTTCTGGTGGGCTTTGTGAGTTAACGACAAGCTTCCGGTGCGCATGAGCGAGTGAACTCGACACCGAATGTGGATGGCTCGGGGACGAAACTTGCCGCAGCCTGACCCTCTCCCTCTCTTCTTCCCGGACCCTTCTCCTCTCTGCCCGGAGGGCGAGGAGAAATCAATCAACTGGATTAAGATATGCATCACTCAAGCGTTTTCAGCTTGCTGCTGCAGCTGAAACAGACAGACAAAAGGCGGAAAGGTCAAGTGAAGGCTCGTTCTAAACTGCAGAACGACACACGCACGAAAGCGGAACCAGAGAGTGTGTAGCAGGCACAAGAAGAGTCGCACATCTGACTTCCAGCTTACTGGGAACCCCCGACCGAATGGAGAGGTTGAGGTGCAGTGACGGCAGGCTGGAAGAGCTTGTGGCGGGAAGAACACAAGCTGTCTCTTTCTGGCTCTTTCACAACATTCTCACGGGAACCAACTGCAGATTCACAACCAAGGCAGCCTCTGGAATAGATCTTCAAAAATGCCCGCAGCATCCAGAGTCTTCGGCACCTGGCGCAAAGCTTTCGACACAGCAACGAAACACCGCTGCACCAAACAATGCACAATCAAACTGGCAAGCAGCAAAGAGATTTGCTTGGCCTTTTTGGCTACGGCTTTACATCACAGAACAGTCTCCAGTGGGTTGTGTATTTGGTGTGCAACCATAGTGCCACGGCTGCCAGGGCTTGCCACAGACCCAGCACCAGTGCATGGAACACTGCGTGCAGGTCATATGGTTGCAGCCCATGGTGCGTAAGGTGCGAACTCCACAACCCGGGCATGCTTTCGCCCCGGCCCAATGACGGTCCTTTGACCGCTGGGCCTCTGGCAATGCTGCATCGAACTCCAAGCAGGACTTCCCCTCGTGGCTCCTTCCATGCATCTCCCACGCCTCACCAGCACATTGACATGCTTCTCAGGAACCTCGCATGCAAAAACATAACCACAATCTAACCCGATCCCTTTAACTATTCACACCAAACGCCCTCGGCGCCTGGGAGCACAGGATGCAGTAGTCGATCTTGCAGCTTGGGCAGCTTACGCGGCGTCCGTCGCGGCCGTCTTCTGTCGGCGGCGCATACAGGCCCACATGGCGACCAAGTGACCAGGCACGCGGATCCCAACGGCTGCCAGGTTCCTGCAACGACCCGAAACACCGCAACGCAAGCAAGCTCCAAAACTGCCAAAGCAAACGGTCATAAGTCACAATCAACTGCTTTAAGAAAGCTTCAGCCTGCGCCGACTTGGAGCGTCTCAGAGCCTTCGGAAGGACCCACATGTGATTGCATTCGCTTCCGGGGCAATGAATAACATCTTCCATTCGCGCCGCGCAGCTCGATGCCAGGCCGCTTGACAGGCACCAGCGCTCGTAAGCCCTCTTTTTGCGTCGAGTCTGGCGTCCAAGCACATCCAAACCTTTCCAAGACCACTGACGTCTCCGCAGCGAGGCAACCACGAGAACGTCTGGCAACACAGTATTTCTACTGCACAACATCGGACAGCTCATCTGAGGACGTGCGTCGTCGATGACGCTCTCCGCGTGGCTCCAGACACATTCCCAGCAGATGGACTTCTTGCAGCACGGAAGCTTGGCCAAACACCAAGGGTTGTCCTCTAGAGAGTTGGCACAAATCGGGCAGTCGACGTTCTGTACATTCGCAACATCGAAGCCCAAGAATGAAAGAAGTTGCCTTGACCAAATCCACTGTTGCCAGAAGTCAAGCCACTCCTGACGAAGCGCTGAGCTCTTCAGCAAACGGTTCGTATATAGAATGAGACCTAGTGCTGTAAGGTGCGGCATCGCCGCTTGAATCATCCGACCAGAACAGAGGAATAACGAGACAGCAAGAGACGTGAAAGCTCTGCTGAGCGCCAGTAGGCCCCGGCAAAACAGCACCCCAGCGGTGACGCCACTCAGCAGTGCCGCACATAGGGCAGCAAGTTGATGAAGCTGAGTCTGGCCCCGTCGTCCGTTTGCTTCAGCCATGCGCCCGAGCTGATCAAATTGATCGACCACGTGAAGTAGATGAAGTCTTCCCAATGCCAGAAAGTGCTCCGTGACATGTGCCAAGTACACCGGCCAGGGCATATCCATGGCTTGACGACGTCTTGGTGAGATCCAGTCTCCGGCTATCCAACTTTGGGGAAGATAATTAACTCACCTTAACCAACCTTGCTGCCATGGGTGGGAAACGTGCTGTCCACTCATCTGTATGAGCATGAGCTGGCCAAAAGCGACGGAGGCCCCGTGGTGCGATTGTCACGAAGCCCAAGTGATCCCCGTCAGCCCGTCAGCCTCTTTACATCTTGTGACTGAACCCCCAACCAGGCCCGTGCACCCGGGTTGCAACAGCCGAGGCAGCGCGCGCGCCCGCCGTCCGTCTTGCCGGGGCCGTGCTGTTTGTTGCCCTGCTTTGTGATTAGACAAGAGCTACCTCCAAAACCATCCAGGCAGTTCATATCAGAAGCGATCCCATCTTTAAATACCCAGACTAAAGATTGCAAGCTCACGCCTGCCCGGGCACTGCAGTGATGCAGACAAGTTGATTTATTCTAGATGCCGACCTTTGTCTTGGAAGCTTCTTCGACCGGCTACACAAAAAAAACGACTGAACAGCACAGAAGTACATAACAACCAGGCAGTCGTGTGGTTCTTGGCGCAGGTTCGCAGCATGACATGTCTCTGCCATGGGAGAACCGTCTACACAAAAGGTCTGCACCAGCGTGGTCGCTGAAACCCCTCTTGGCCATTTGCGCCTCTTGGCCGTGATACCTGCGGCCAAGGCCGTGGCACCGGCGGCAAGCACCGATGGCAAGCCTGCTGCTCGACTTTGCCCCGAATGGCTTGTCTAAGCCTCTTGAGACATGCAGTCTTTTTGCACACCCGCCTCGTTCTGGAGCTTCTCGTGTTGCCCGCCCGAGCTTTGGGGCAAGCCTGCGTGTGCGCTTCTTGCCAGAGAGAAGAGGAATCGTGAAGGATTTGTGTCTACGCAGCGCCCACGCCCAAGCCGAGGAGTCCCTCACATAGAGCTGCAGCCACACGCGCGCTTGGCAAGACCAACAACAACTGCAGCGGCGCAACCACCTTTAACTTGCAGAAGTTGCGATGCGCCGCAGATCCGCAAAAGCTTTTTCCGTCAGCCCTGCAGGGATGTGACACGGAACACTTGCGGGCCAGCAACACACCTTGAGATGAGCGGCCATGCGTACAGAACTCGCGTAGCCATGGCCCGGGCCTCAGGGCCCCTGAAGCCCAGGACCCGGCAAAAGCGAACAGGTATCAGGGACGACATAAGGGGGCGAGACGAGGCTAGACAGAGACAGATCTGACCTTCAGCTCATCCAAAGTGGGCTGCGTCAAAAGCACCCCCAAGTGAAGATGCGAACGTGTAGTCTTCCAAAGATGTACGAAAACAAACATCAAACTCAAGCCAAGCACCCCAGCCCGAGCCCGGCCCCCGCCCCACATTCAGCAAGGCATGCGACTCCGGTGCCAAGGCTTGAGCTCCCAATGAGGTGGGGACTGATGCAAGGGCTGTGAGCTACCGTGTATATCGTCGACATGCACAGCAGGACGGCCATCTTCGAAGGCAGGAATCAGAGCGTCGTGAAGTTGACCGGAGAAACTTCATCTGCTGCCTCCCAACCGGATCTTGCACTCGTCGCACCCTGGACCTTCAGACACGCCATGGTTCTTACAAAGCTCTCTTCATCACGGACTTTGCCTGGCAACAGGCAGTGCCAGCGGTGCAGGCCCTGGGCTGGAGGCCTTGCAACGTTAGGGAATGCTTGAACGCTCGGAGATGGCACGTCAAATGCTAGCGCGGCCTCGACGAGGAGAGCCATGGCGGCTGGCACAAAAACGTTGTTTACAAAGGACTGTGCTGTCGAGAGCTATGATGCTACTGGTAGCAGGCTTCTTTGCTTCTTTTCAGCTATACGAAGGTGCCTCCCGCCGAAGCCGAGCATAAGATCCTACCTCGCTCATGTGACATGTGCAAAGAGTAGGGCAACACTTCCGAAATCGATGACCTTTCCCTACTGCGCAACTGCTGCGGCATGAGAGCACATATTGAAAAGCGAACATACTTAGAGAATCGGCATCTGTCAGCTGGCTGTAATCTCTGCAACAGCGACAGAACTGATTCAGGATTTATCCAACGCAGGACCTAACCGACGGCCCGTGCTTGATGCCGATCACCTTCTCACACAAATGAAGAGGCGCGACGTGGTCAGCAATGTTCAAAGCAATCGGAGACAGTTGAGACCCTGCGAAAGACCACACAGTTGAACCAGCATCTGGGAATTAATGTATTGCTCGGACTCCAGAAATGCATCCTCTCCACTTGCCGCATTCTCAACTCTTGAGGACTCCCGCACCCCAACCACAACCAAGTGGCTGATCGACAAGCGAGACAAAGTCTGGCAGTGCAAACAAGTATCCCACGAGACTGCTTTTTTGGTTGCCAAGGCCAGCATCTTCTGTCGACCTCTTTGGAAACGAGTCTAAGATCCTACCTCACATTGGCTAGCCACTAGCAAATCTTTTGCTCAGCATGGCCTCATATAGAGGTACCAATACCTGCGTCTCCGTTCCTGGGTTGAGTTTTTCACCCTGCACCCAAGTCCAAGCGATATGCGTATCAGGTGCACGTAAACCGATGTAAGCCGTCCGCGAGTAGCCACCTTGATGCTGTTGCTACCAGGACCTGGTACCAAGCATATCCCGTCGAAGCTTCGCAACGCCTTCTTCAGATATCTTGAGCATCGAGCTGACGGTGACTTCGGAAAGGACCGTGCCTCACACTACATGCAAATCTGCAACATTTAAGCCCATAGCTTTGACAGACTTGAGCTGCCACCGGGTGACAACTATTCACTGTCTGCGCTGAGGTGTACAGCAGCACTGATCCATCGTCAACCTGCGGTTCTTTGGCAGCGTGCTTCATAACTCCCATGCTCATCGCGGCTGTCCAACTGCCTGCCGCTGCGCGACATAGTGGACATTATCTAGGGCAAGCCGGCTTTTCACCTGTTTACAAGAACTGGTGACCAGCTCGAGGACAGGAAGCAGATGGAAGCAGCTGGGTCTCAGACCGACTCCGAGTCCGTTGGTCTGTCCATGCTAATCACGTGGACTTTCTGACCTGCTTCGCCCACCTGCGCATCCACACTCTTAGATTCCTTAAGCACTTCGGCTGTCCGTGAAACTTGGGCGGACCCGCTGCCACACTGGAGTGAACTCCTCCCGGGTTAAGGCGGCGTTCTCCAGCAAGACTGCCTCGGGAAAAAGCGACATGCAACAAGTGGAGGTCTCCTCACAGTCACGATCGAAATATGGCTTAGGACAGCACTGATAGATCGAACTGCAAGTGGAAATAGAAAATGTCGAGTGATGTTTTTATTGCAACCTGCCGGTCACGAAGGTCGCTATGGCAGCTGCAGGCATAACCTTCAGGCCTGTAGTAGAAGGGGCTGGGTTGGTGGGGTGTTGCCTGCCACCGACAGGGAACAGAGGAGTTCACCTACATCAGTGCCATCACAGCCAGGCCCATGGCTGGGAAGTTGGCCAGGGGCCATGGCTACAGAAACCTGCTCAGCAAAATTCACACATGTTGAAATAGCTTTACCTCCACGAGCCTCCGCAGAGGATCCCGGACCTATGTCTGGACATGCTAGCCTTGGTTGGATCTGGAAGTGCATAGCCTGCTGCGATGCGAGCAAATCAGTGTCAAGATCCCGACTGCTCTTTGGGAGCGAAGCCAAATGGATTCTTGTTCACCTCAGCAACAGCAGGAACCACAACCCTGACAGCGACATTCCGTCTTGTGGGATACATGTCGGAAGCTCAGCTTTCGCCACTTCTTTTTGATCCCTCATTCCATTTTGAAGATTCAAGGTTTTGCCAGTCCATTTTCTGGGTGTTACATACATGCAAACGTTGTGCAGCACATCCATTCGGCAGTCATTTCCACAAAGAGCTACTCGATTCAGAAGTGCGTGCACTTGCCACCGCTGCATGCTGCTGGAGGAATCCCGCGTTCACACAGCACGTTTAGCACAGCATTGGTCGCACCTTCAGTAAACCCGTTGCTCTTCATCTCCGCGGCCTCAAACAGTCCACCGAAGCCTCTGCCTTGATGAGAGAGCGGTCGTCACCGTTACAATGCTTGCATGCACGTACCCCGCGATGTGTTTTATCATTGACACAACTACCAAGGGGAAGGCAGCGCCTGCTAGTTTTTCTTCATTCCAGAGGCATTCGTTAGAAATACCTTCGGGGATGCTGATCAGATCTGCAGCATCTTTTGGCTTTAAGCTTTCGCGCGTGCAAACAGGCATGCTCAGCACACCTTAGGAAATCTTCGTCCTCAACATTATTTATCATCCAAAATCCGCATGGACTCGTTCTGCAACACCGGTGTGTTCTGCTCCTCCGCATCTCCGACTTCCCATCTGCTGAGCAAGGCTCGTGCCAAGACAACAGCGACCCCGCAGTGCAGTGAGGCAGTCGACTTGTGGTCTCGAGTCGTCAGTGGGCGGGATTGTCCCACTGGTTTGTCTTGATGTCAAACCACTTGACATTTTCGGTATGCTCATTTCGATGGCATACGCAAGTGTGGTCTCACCGTGTCTCAACCCCCTTGGTAAAACTGAACCTCATCTCGAGCGCAAAATTTCGAAGCAACTTGACCATTACCATGTTACCTCGTGCCGAAGCATAGAAGAGCAGAGTCTGATGGCATTTGTCGACCGACCAATGCCAATCGTCAACACCCTCCTTGCCAACGAATTTCTGTGGTCTTCATCACGCACCTTTGCGTGCCTGGTTGGGTTCACTACATTTTGAGCATGCTTCGCATCCGAGGTCAACGAAAGCCAGCCAGGTCTTCACCAATTGAAGCTGAAAAGAAGGGAAGCTTGCTGTGCCCCCCATGAATAACTTCGGGGAGTGCAGTTAGTGCAAACAGGTGGGAATGCTAACACTGCACACTGTTGCCCTGTTTGTTGCACACTGGCCTGGATGGCGAAGCCATTCACTGTTGAAGGGCTGCTATTGGAGAAAGTCATCAGAAGAGTCGGAATGCCCCTGACACCACTGCAGACTTCGCGCTTGCGATCACTCCGTGTAGAGTCTCACAACGGGCCTTTGTCTGACGAAAGCTGCAGAGACAGCGAAGCCCTGATTGCCATGCTGCCCTGGACGCTGCCATGAAGCTGCGCAGTTGCAGAGAGCTTTGCATTAACGAACACGCCGCCTGGTTGTGTTGGTGGCAGCACTGCCACTTTCTGAACCGCCTGTGCTGGCGCCTCGCACCAGGCAACGACATCTTGCCTTGTCACCCTGTCCGTGGCGTTTCCGGGCTTCTTGCATTGGCTGTTCCAGGGCTGTCGTCACCGACACCACCGAGGTCAAGTAGGTCCAGCCTGCTCGTTCGCGCTATCTGCAGTACCGATGTCGAAACGCACAGCACAACCGAAGCTCTGGGTGCGATGCCCACCACCTCCTGCAGAGTTCCCATTCCTGCGGGGAACGTCCGCACGGGGTGTTCCACGGTAGCACGTGACTGACTTCTGCAAGGACAGCGGGCCCAAACATGTTCTGCTGCGGCTCCAGCCGGCCTGGAGGCATCTGGCCCTCGCTCCAGCTCCTCCTGGACCTGCTCAGCAAAGTCGTTGCGTGCTCAGACACTCAGGCGAAACCGGCAGTGCTCATTGATTCCGCAGGATTATGCCTCCCTCCGCCTTGCTTGCCGATCCTCTTCATCGAAGTCCTCGTCCTTCAGTTCTGCCGTGCTGCCCAGCGGTACACATGTTGATACCCGATTTTCAGTGTTCCTGAACGGCTTACACCTTCTGCACAAACCAGCACGGAAACTCTAAAGACTGCACCAGACATTCAGGAGTACATGACTCGCACTTGGACCGACAAAGATGCAGCAGTCGACTACATTCCACAGTTGAGCCGCAGGAAGACTGTGACGCCAGAAAATGAAACCCCAAGAAGGTACTGGCCTGGGCTGCTTTGTCATCTACTGATGTGGTTGTCGCCAATGTCAGCCTGTGGAAAACACCGGTTGAAGTTCTGCTGCTATCGGAACGACGGCGCCACCTAGTGACAAACTCCTCAGCGTACTTGTGATACACCTGATGCAACATGTCGCTGTCGCTTGATCACTCCGCAGTCCATCTGTGAAGCTCCAGACGTACAGGTTTGACAGGTAGTTCAAAAACTCAGGTGGTGGGCACTGCTCATCAGAGACAGCTCGCTGGACAGCTTGTCAAGCAAGTTCTTGTCCAGCGACTGTCAAGATCCGACGCGCGGCTGTTAGCAGGGCAGGGCAAGCCACAAGCGGTCCCGAGCCTGCGAGTCATCCCGAATCGATGGCTTGTCGCCAAGGACCTCAGCCCAGCTTATCACTTAATATCAACCAAGACCGAACAGGTAGAGCAATAACCAAGCACTCCGCCACTCTTTTTGTGGATTCGGGATTCGTCGATAGTAATCGCCAGTACACATAGCCTGCAAACAGCCGTGAAATCGTGGAATGTGCAACATCGCCAGCAAAGAGGAGGCTTGAAGGTAGGTTTGCAGCCGACCTCTGTCTCGAAGGTCATGGTTGGTGGACTCCTGCAGGCACCGCTTGTACCATCTTGTACCCTGCACCATCTTCCCTTGTCTTTCGGCCGGCTATGCACCTTAAAACCAGTGAGTCTACTCCGTTGGAACCTCGCCTCGGTGGCACACTTCAGCACCTTGGACACCATGTCCTGTGTAGACGAAGGCTTCCTTGGAGTGGAGTGCTGTGCTCTTCGCCACTCTTGCACTCGCACAATGCGCCGAGGGTCTGCAGAAAAAGCTTGACGATTGCCGTCAGAAGCTGGACTTGAACCTCAGCACAACAACTCGCGTACAGGCAGGAACCCCAAGACTAGATTTTTCGGGCTCGCACCATGAGCGGTTCATCATGGAACGTATCCAGGAAAGATTCTAAGAGTTCATCGGCATTGTCGATCCTACCGCGAGCGGCTTCATGGTAAATTCGGGCAACGAGCTCGGTGAATGCCTGCCGGCATACTCGCCCAAGATCCAGATCATGGAGGCCTGCCGGACCCCTACCACGAGTTTGTCAACACGCACCCCAAAAGGAACAAAGCCCTCACTGTTGGCAGCAACAGCGCGTTGACCGGCGGAGCAAAGATCGCTAAGCACGGACGGTGAAGAGCATACTTACGTCGACGGACATGATTTCATCACCCGGACATACTCCGACAGATGGATCTTGCCGATTAGCAGATTCACCACCCAGAGACCTTGATGACCTTGCTGGAAAGGTGGTGTGGTTTCTGATGGTTAATCGGATGCACCCGACGAGTCTTCGTCTCCCGGGACAGTACCCGGATACGTTTCAGAATTCTGCAAATCGCCGCATTCCCCACATTCCCGCTTGACACTCCTCCGCCGACCCGGATTCAGCTGTTCTGGATACTGCCCGAACACTTCTCGTGCCTTACTCGAGTTGGTCTTTTCGGACACTCCCCGAACCCCGAACACTACACTTGGCGCTTCTTGGGCTTTACTGGGCTTTTGACCTGCAAGGCAATGTCCACACAGCCCCTTCGACCCAACGCTGCGAACATAGCCAGCATGTTCTCGAAACCCCGACGAACTGCCCCAGTTGGACCAGCCAGGCACCACTGGCTCGTCAGAGCGTGGCCGGCGACTCTCAAAGCCGCACTGACTTAGCAGGCTTGGGCCCGGCGGTGCTGGGCCCCTGGGCGGCCCGCCACATTTTGCTCCTCCCTCAAACCGGCCTTGGCTTCCGGCTCATCTAAGACCTCCATGGACTCGCAGAGGGCAGACAAAACCTGCAGGTGTTTCATCCTTGAGCGCAGAGCTTTAGGGCCTCCCGAACAGCCTGCTCATAGCGAGATGGGTACTTTCTGAAGATGTCCTTCACGGAACTGTGAGGCTCCACACTGTATGGCATCATCACGGCAATGCATTGCAGTGTCCTTCACAACCACACATGCCTCTTGCACGACATAGTTGACCTCTCGCCATGGGCAGACTGAAAACACTGACAAAGCTCCGGCAGCCGCACCGGACCTTTGTCTCGATCAGCTCCAGCAACACGTTGATGGCACGCTCACATGCGCGCTCTAGCTTGACCTCGCGTCTGACACTGCTGTCTGAGGTGCGACAGCTCTTTGCAGACAGCCGAGCGGCTGCAACTCTACCAATCGATCGCACGGACTTCCGCACGAACTCAACATCCACGCCTCAGGCGCCCGCAGGTGCGTGCTTGCAGAATGCAGTCGTAACATGAGGCAATGGCCGGATGCATACTCTTTGAGCTCCAGAAGCACCTGTAACTTCCAAGGATTAGCAGCACGCTCTTCTCGCCTTACATTTTTGCGGCCACTGGCCAACCCTGTGTGGTTCTGCAGCTTGCCTGGTCGAAGTTCTTGTCGCTGACAAGCATGCACATTATGTCAACCTGCCCGTGCAATCGTCGTGCAATCGTCCAGCACTCTACAGGCTTCGTGCAAGCGAGTAGCCTTCTCAAGTTTGACATAGATGGGATCGTTGTACTTGCAAAAGAACATCTTCACCTCACCGATGCACCGGCAGAAGCTTTCCCCTCCCTCATCGGGGGAAACCAGATGCCAGCAAGCAACATCCGATGCAAGAATGCCTGCACGCTTCTGCACCTCAGCGAGTCTTTTTGCTTGCAAACCCTAACGTGCAAAGCCACAACACATGGGCAGCTGGCTATAACTCGGATGTTTCGCAGGGCCACATACTGAACCTGTCGAGTCAACACTGCTCGCACGGGAATATGTTTTTCTACTACTGATTCCTGCACCTGTCAGTATATCGAAGGGAAACAGCGGGCAACTCCACTTTCAGTCCAAAGTCCATCACGTCTGAATCGTTTTATGGTGGGCACTCGGCGTGCGCCGTCTCAAAACAAACCTAAGCCCTGAGCCAACTCTCTCCGAGCCTCTGATTCGCTGGAGAGCAGCGTGACCAGAGGAGGGTTCAGCTTCTTGGCAAGCAGACGCAGGACCTCTGTCGTCTGAGCTTACCATTCTTGTGCACTTGCAGGATTCTGTGGCCTCTGAATTCTCAATGTGTTCCATGCACCTGAGGATCACCTGCCATAAGACACTGCTTGAGCTCCACCAGATACAGGGTCCCACATGGTCTACACATGCCCCCATACCGTCTCCGTCTGAAAGCCTGCCTTGATGGCTGCGATAACCACGGCGGGGTTCGCATGGGAGAGCCTTGCGAGAAGCCACACAGTAACCTGCACTTTGGACTGGGTGTTCTCGATCCTGGCGGTGACCCTCTCCGTGATGGACTCGGAGTCGTTGGGCCCAGAGGGTTCTAAGATGAAGGCAGACTTCCACCGATCGCGTGCAGGTCAGCACTGAGGGCCAGGCCGTACGTTGCAATGGCGTCAAGGATGAAAACCTGCCAACCATCAACTCACCACCTCATTCCTTGAAGCCGTATGGAACCCTAGTGCCGCAACCTGGCCCCACTCGTTGCACTCATTGAGGGCTGCCAGAAGCTTGTGGATGTTGCCCTGTCCACAAGACTGATCACTTCTGGTGGCTGCAGCAGGTTGACTAAACACACACACACTTCACAAAAAATCGTCCGAGATTTCAAAGTCTTCCGTGCCTTGTCTAAATCTAGCAAATCCTTGCCGCAAGTCTGAGATATTTCTGCAAGCCCTGCGACAGCGTTGGCAACGACCTCGCTGCTGTTGCATTCTGCTGTTTTTCAGGCATGCGGAAGACCGTCGCAGATTCTCAGGAGTTGGCCATTGGATTTCCGTCTCCAAGAAGATCCTGTGCAAAAGGCCACAGCAGGACAAGACCAAACGACCAAGTCTGAGACTCGGGGAGAGCCGAGCCTTCAGGATCTCCACGAAGCCTTGGTCCTCCACCAACTCCGGATTGATGTCGTAAACCTGCACAATAGGCAGCCTTTCAGGCTTCGTTTGCACTGAAGAATCAAGAGCCCTTCCCAGAGTGCCTTCGGAATACATATCGCGGAGGTCTTTCGGACATAAGGGTCCTGATCCTGACGCATGATGCAGAACCCAGATTGCTGGTTTCTTACGGCGTCTCACACAGCTTTCGCCTGGCAACATCTTCTCAGGGGCTCTAGCAAGTACTCAGTGACCTGTCAACATGCATGAAAGAGGGCACACTATGTCTCTGATACACATGTGACCTGGTCGAGCCGAATGCAACCCATGGTCCGGACCTGGAAGAAAGTGCAGACCCATTGTGGCTGATGCTTCAAACAGGGAGTGAGCTTCGGGCAGCTAGAGAACGGATCAGAGGGTTTGGATCCGTCGCATCCTGCCAGCATGCCCGACAACACCACAGGCGAGCAAAACCAATATCCATCGCCTTTCTGAAGGTGTTGATCGCAAGAATGGCGAGCTCAGGCTGAGCCTCTCCAGCTAGCGGTCTGCAACCCAACTCTGACCATCTGCAACGGGCTTCCCGATGGACAGTTTTCTGGCACCTTCGCGTAGTTCATGACATACAAGTAGACCAGCTTCTTCAGCTCGATATTGTCTGTCCTCAGCGAGGGAGAAACACTAGCAGTCTTCGTGAACTTCGAAGCTCCCGTTGTGTTTTGAGCGTCCTGTTTTGCGGCCTCGCCACATCTAAATCTCCCGATGTATGTCTTGTCCAATACTACTCTGATCCGTTCGAATTTCACCTGGCTGCTTTTCCAGACTTTCTGCTTGCTATATGAACATGGGGTTTCCTGCTGCAGTGCTGTCCCTGCTGCGCATGTTGTCATCTGCCAGGCACCCTGCTGGAGTTCCTCCAAGTGCCACATAGCTGGGGGCATGTGCAATGCAAAGGGCTGCTGTCGACAACTCAAAGCTGAAATGATCGTTCTCCGTACGTTGAACGTTCCGAATGATCGCAATCTGGCTTGAGAGGCTCGGAGGCCGAGCAGATGAGCAGTTTCTAGTCCAGGCGAGCCGATGCTCGGGTCTCGCATGGCATCTTTTAGATTTGTACTTGCCCTGCGCCAATATTGGTGCACGCTGGTGCGCCGCTCGAGACTGCACCAAGCAGCTGAAGTAGTGGTTTGGTTTGTGCTACCTTGTCATGCTGATGTTGAAATGACAGAAGTGAACAAGTGTTGAGCACTTAAGCCGTGCTATGTTGGTGGGGTTAGGGAGCTAAGCGTGTGACTGGATGCAGTTCACCACATCTGCAAAGAGGGCGGACACATCCTTGCCGACAGTCATGTTGGCAATGACCTGTACAGACTGCAAGTGTCCACCACAAGGCTGTGGCTGCGACTTGCAGGCCTTTTTCACCGCATCTTTCTGCTTCTGCTTATCATTTGCATGGAGTTCTTCTTTGAGTTCCTGGCAACATCCAAAGCACAAGAAGAAGCTTTCCTTTGAGGAGAACACGGCACCTGAATCTCGCCGCGCTTTGTCGTTTGGAAGAACTTTCCGTCATTCTGCTTCCTCCCGGCCGGCACATCTCACGACAAGAAGGGGGTGCTCGAAGGCTTGATGAGGCTCGAGCTGTCTCATTGCCACCATTGCAGAGCCTGCGTCACGTGATCTCACATGCACCAGGTACGCGGTCCGCAGGCTTTGAGGTCAGGACCCTTCCACTGCCGAGGGTAGCAAGCCTGCCTCTACCCGGGAGGCGGGCCTCCGAGTACTGCACATGTGAAGGCGAACCAGACTACTCCTGGGATGCCGCCTGCACCACTCAAGCTGGCAGTCTCGGGAAATGGGATGCCATGAGCTTACAGAGCCAAACGGCAGACCAGCAGGACGACAGCCCTCGAAACAAATCGTGGCTTCGAATCACTAGCCATCGACTACAAGAAAAGAGCATGACAAGCACCGGCGCCGTTTGGCTTGCAGAAAACTGCTTCTTGAAATTACCTTTGGCAAATGCGGTGAGATTCCTTGCAACCTGATGCTGCAAGAAGCTTCACTTCCAGCATGTTAGCTGGTTGCTTTGCTTTCTTTGGCCTTGCGTCAGGGGTCATGACGGGGCGATGAGCGACGAAGGTGGCTTGTAGATTTCACAAGCAGCCACACATGCAGTGGAAAACCCGCTCACATCCGAAACAAGCATAAAAGCAAAACCATGCTCAGAAAACAGTCGCAAAAGCATTGGTGGCAACTATCTTGGCACTTGCAAGCATTCGTGGACTCCGACTTCGCAGTGCTCATGTCAGTGCCACAGTTGCGGTACCGCTTGTCGCGTCAGCAAACGCATCTGTCATGATATTTATAAACAGAAATTCGAAAACATGATTGTCATGAAGGGAAGGCCCTGCCTGTCTCCATTCACGCCTGGCGAAGGATGATGATCGGCAGGCGTTTACAGCCGCACATGCAATCAGTCACAAAGTCAAGAACAGTGCCGACTAGTCGCTGCTGCTTCCGGATCAAGTCTGTATCTTGCCGAACTTCTTCTGCAAGTTTGGCATTGCTCCTACAAGGCAAGACCATCAAACACATGCGGCAGAATGAGCACGGCAGAGCAATTCGGGCATCTACGTTTTGTTCTCGGCCAGGGAATGAAGCACCTGTCTGGCAGCAACCATGGAGATATCAATCTTCCTCATGCTGATCCTTGGAATACATGTTGGTAAAGTGGATACAGCCTTCTCCGTAGCGTTGCCGACATTTTCAATGCTCTCCTCGATACTGCCTTGTATTGTCCTGAGACATGCTACTCGTGAGAGTGTCTGGTGGTAACTTCAGCACACAAAATCCCACTGAGCACTTGGCCGGATATTGTCAGCACTGAAAGCATGCTCCAAAGACTTTTGAAGCTCTCCACTCTTATACCTCGCAGCAAGTGGCCACAGCAAACATGGCGTTTATCTTCTAGATTTCTCGAATATTCACATCTCAGGCCGCTGCCTGTTCACCAATGACGTGATTCCTTTCCTGCCGCGCGGCAGCGGCAGCCATCAGGCTTCGTCAAGATCGTCAAGTTTCATCATCATTACCACCGTGGCCTCATCATGGCATCATGCGTCGCTTGCTTCTCTTTGTATGCGTTGAGCCGGAGAACCTGACGTCAAGTCGGCAGGAACACAACGGCGAAAAAAGGTTGAAAACCACGACATAGCTTCCGGCCTCTCGTGCCTCCAACACAGCATTGCGCTCATGCTGTGGCAAGTCCCAGACGTTCTTGTTCCGGGCTGCCGCAAATCGTAACAAAATGGCATGTCTTTGGATGGCACTCTCAGGCCTTCGGGATCATCCCACATCAGGATTGGCTGCCCTGTTGCCGACTGAATGGATGTCCTGGCTTTAAGGACGCCAAAAACCCTCGTGCTCGGCATCGGCTAGTTATGCTTGAGTCTGACACCATCCCACTGCTGGGTAATTGATCCTGACCTGGGTTCATGGAGGTCCGCGTCACGAAAGGATGCCACCAGGGTACTTTAATTAAGCTTCCGACCCTTCTGCCATGCTTGGCTATCACATGCACGAACATGCCCATAGGAAGCGTTTGCACCTCAGAGACGAAAGCAATGCGAAAGTTTCATGTTCACTCCCCTCAAGCAACTCTGCAGCTGATGATACTGGAACTCACGTTTGTCCTTGTTGGCAAGATGCTGCTAGCTTGCGAGGTGCTCTGCTGTGCTGCCCAGCAAGCCATCAAAGCGAGACTTCAAGCGAATGTTTTGTAACATATCCGCCGATGCCACAGGCCTCAGGCGTCTTGCTACCCTCTACCTAATCCTCCTCTGCGTCCTTCAAAGTCCAGTAGCACCGCTTTTGGTCCACCATTTCGACTCCCCGCCCCGGCCCCCCCTCCCACACATCTCCCTTGCACTTCCCCCCTTCCCCCTCCCTTTCTGGTCCCTTTTTTTCCCTCACAGTAATGCTCTCCGGCAAGCCTATCCGGGCGGCACATAGCGTATAACCTTGTATGTCAGCAAACACGATCACAAACCGTAACGCATCAAGCCCCTGCACAGGAAAAGTGAGTTCCTCTTTGTCACCCCGAGGGAGAGAAGGTGGCATTTCCGAGTCCCCCAGAATCGAATGTCCCGAAGCCGTCGGAACTCGATCCGTTCAAAAGCAGCCGATCCGAAATTATGGCACGGTGCCGCTCTCCGACCTCACCGTGCACCACGCCTGCCATGGGTGAGGAGCTAAACTGAGATGTACGGCGAGCCAGACTCTAAGACTCACCAACTCGAATTGTACCTCTCTGCCCAGTCTATTCGCCTCTCATTTCCTGTCTCCTCTGTCTTCTGCTTTTTCGGCAAAAAAACGGTGGCCGTCTCCCCTTTCGTGCGAGTCTATCAATCTCCAAGCCGCACATGACATGTAAAGTGTCAGACAGTCTACGTTTCTCTCTCGCACCTGGCCAGCAACCTTATCCACGCTTAAGGCGGCAGCCACAGGTGAGGTCAAGCTCTCGTTCTGCCGAATGAGAGTATTCAGCCTGAGTCGGACAACATGCTTCTTGCCGCCCGCAGGTGTCGTCTATTCTGCATGCGAGAAGGGATACATCTCAGACTCCCTCACTGCCCTGTGCCATCCGGTGGTATTGACTTTCCATGCACCGATGGTCGCGGAAAGACCTGCACAAATATTGCACGCACAAGCAGGCATGAACATCCACAGGTGACTGATATGCAACTGCGGACAGCCATCGCTTTTTGTTTGCAAGGCTTGGGGCGTCGGCACGAGGGCTATGTGGCTACAACATTCAAGCAGGACTCTCACAACACTCTTCTCCACTGATACGATCACTTCTGGTTCGCCACCAGGGGAGAGCGTAGCACATAGACAAGGATGGACCAAGTGTGCACGACTTAACTTGAACACAACAGGATACACAGGTGGGCTCCCGGCAGCTCAGATCATTGGCACGTGTCTTGAAACGATGCACATCTCGAACCGGATTGGAACAGTGAAACCAGGTCACCGGGTAACACCACTGCATATCTCGAAGGACTCAACCAATACTCACTGCCCGAGTGCATGTTTGCCACTAGCACGGAGTGCATACTCGGAACAGACGCTTAACTAGACTTCAGGCAGTGACCTGTCTTCGGACTGTGCTGCTAGACTCAGAATTCCCGCAGAATCCTTCTCCATCATCTTACAGAACTCGTCGAAGCCTGAGTTTGAGGCCCGAATGTGCAACATCCTCGGGAGCTGAGGCCATGCTGCAAGGTGCTTTTATGCACCAAGGCCCCTCCCCGAAGGCAATCCGGCCCCCCAGCGTCGCAACTCGTACTTGCTTCCCGCCGCCTCTACATGAAATCGAGCTGCTGATCTCACCATTGGAATCCAAGTCCACGTCTTGTACCATCTTCTCAATGTAGGACATGTTGTCCTCTTCCTGGCTGCACCACTTTCCGAAAACGTTGCGGCTGCAGCTCGAGAGACAGTGCTCGCCAAGTCGAATGCCTTCAGGATCTTTGCCAGCTCATCCTGACATACAAAGTAAAGAAGGCAGAACAGACAGCAACAAATCAGCGCAGGACTGAAACTAGCAGTGCTAAGCCTTCGTGATGACACCGTCACCATTGGTGTCGAAGACACGAAAAGCTGCCCACATCACTTCGCGCCTGCACGCTTCAATCCCGGACTTCGAAGCGATTCCGAAGGCATCCTTTTATTAAGCTTCCGAAGCCTCAAATACTGCTTTTTGGTTAATGTCGCTGCCATGAACTCGGTATAGTCGATGTTGCCGGATCCATCCGTATCCAGGTTCTTTACTATCTGCACCTGGGCCAACGAAGCTACAGAGGGCTGAACATGAACTCGATCGACACTGGGGGTGGGACAATGTCATCTGGCAAGTCTGCCTTCGCTGTCCTCATGCCAGTTTGAATCTCTTCGAGGCCTCAGCTGCGCCTGAGATGGCTCCGAAGCCGATTTATCACAGGTTCAGCCAAGTCTCTCAAAGTTCCGTCCCTGTTCTTGTCGAGCTGAATGAACGTGTCTCGGAGCTCCTGTGGATGAAGGCAATGAAAGCCCAAACAAATCAAGATTGGTGGCATGCATTGGCAAAAGCAAAACATCCTTGAGATCATCGTCTTTGAGCTGCTGGGCGATGAGGGTCAGGGCGACTTTCTTCATCCTGACGTCCCGATCTCAGCTGCAGTTTCTTGGGAAAAAACCGTGCACGTGCCTCGAATTGCTCTGGAAGCGCTTCAACTTGTGACCCAAGTCCTTCACCGCAACAAGCGCAAATTGTAGAAATCATTGCAGCAAGAGCATGCTGGAACTGGAGTCCGAAGTTAGAAGCTCTGCGTCCTTGGCCACGGCTCCCACGGGAGCACTGACGGATGCAGTCAACCACTTGTGCATCAGCAGCGTCGAGGCACTTGGCCTTTGTCCTTACAAGGGAAGTTCAAGCGAAACCCGTCCTGAGAAATTCGCTGAAAAAGCAGGCCGGGCTGCTCGGGTCATATGTGAGCATCAGCTTGATGAATTCGATAGCGTCGCTGGACACGTCCGACCAGTCAGCTGGATCAAACTTCACTTCTCCTTTCTTGACCTGCAAAACACTAGTCCATCTATGCAGACATCTCCGTCTGCACCTGACATATTTATCATGAACTCCTCAGGCCACACTCGCTACTTCGGCAATCATGTGCCACTTCGGCCAGGTAACCATTGCAAGGATCTCCTTGTCTTTTTCACCTGAAACAGCTTGATCGTCTCGCTCATACGGACAGCGCTGCAGTGCAACTGAGATGCCATAGAAGGGTGGATAGCCTGGCTGCAAACTCTCTATCCGTTACGCAAGCGGCGATTTGTAGGAAATTCCAATCAACAACGATCAGCCAATCAAGCAATGGCAAGAAGCCACACATGAGTATGTAGCAAATCACGCCACAACTCCAAATATCACATTTCTCGTCGTAGGCTCCACTCAGGACCTTGCCACAGGCGAAGCACAGGTCCTAAGCCTTTCCAAGCATGTTATCTACAAGAAGGACAGGTTGGACTGCCTGCGGGGCCACGTAGTACGGAGTGCCAGCCCGAGTCTTCATCGGTGAGGATGTGCCGGGAACGAAGTGCTTCGCAAGGCCAAAGTCAATAACCTGCCACGGCAAAACCTACACACCAGATGTCAGGAATGCGGGGAGTCAGAGTTCAAACACAAGACACCTTTATTTCGGCGTTGGCATCCGTATTCTGCATCAGAAAATTTTCTGGCTTGATGTCCCGGTGAACAAAGTTGTTCTTGTGCAGGTAACTCCTGATTCTTGCAAGGCTGAGCGAGCAAACTCGACATCAACCAATGCTGTGCAAGGCAACTTGTTTGGCGCTTGAACCAAGCCACATGGCACCTAATATCTGCTGCATGTACGTGGCAGCACCGCGCTCGTCAAAAGCGCGAGCACCATCCTGAACGTCTGCAAAAGACAGATCTAGTGCCGCCGGTGGTCACACAATGCTGGACGCTCTGAGAGTGGCACATGCTTCTCTGATTCGGCGACAATTCGCTCAAAAAGTTCTCCGCCGGAGCAAATTTCCATGACCTGGCGAATATGATGTCACGAATGATTCAAGCTCGACCACAGAGCGGTGATCAGCCCTGCACCAGGTAGAAGCGCTTTGCATCTTGAAAAACCTTGAAGCAAGGACGTGCGCAAACAAGGTAATTGCAGGCAAGCACGATGCTTCTTCAATCCCAGCCACTCACACAACGAACACTGCGCAATGCTGCTGAGCAGCCTCATAAAGCTTGACGATATTCGGATGGTCCAGAGAGGATTGTATATCCACCTCTACCTGGAACCGCGCTGGGTCCGAGATCTTGTGTCTGTTGATTGCCTGATCACAGCCAGGAGATGCATGCGAACTCATCCGCAAGACCCCAAACAAGCGAGGCCTTGATGGCGCGAACGGCTCCAGTGTCTTTATGTACGCCTTTGCAGACTTGGCCATAGGAGCCCTCCCCGAGAGGCTTCTTCTCCACCTGAGCTCAGGGCTTTGTACAGCCTTGAAAGTTTTCACGCTCAGAGAGCTGTGGGCTGAAATGCACGAAAATCTACTACTAGCTGCAGCAGGGAAGCGGAATAGACATCATCCAGTTTATTTGGGTTTTCAGCGCAGAACCTTGTGCAGCCAGGCCCACAGCATATGACGTTCTCTGCATCACAGAGAGACAGAGAGAGACAGCGAGAGAGACAGAGAGAGACAAAGAGAGACAGAGAGAGAGACAGAGAGAGACAAAGAGAGACAGAGAGAGACGGAGAGCGACAGAGAGAGAGAGAGAGAGAGAGAGAGAGCGAGAGCGAGCGAGCCGAATCTGAGGTAAAGGCGTGTGTGAAAACGTCGTTGTTGTTGCGCTGAGCAACTTCTTGGGCGCCATGCTAGCCAACTTATGTCCAAATATCCTCTATGGCAAGCCTTTGGTATAACTCGACTAGCAAAAGCTATTCTTGTGGCAGGACTTTCCATGTCAGTTTCAGAATATACTTGCACACCTGTAGCTCATGTCCAGTCTGAAACCCCGACCTGCACAGAGCAAGCTATCAATGCTTCGCTCGTGCCCTTGATGCCCAGCTTAAAACTCAATGCTCTACGAAGGCTGTTGAGACGAGCCCCGACCGCGGTCAAAACACATTTCGGCTGCTATGACTCTGACTGACCAGTACAGCAACACTGCATATCCCCCAGCCTGCAGATTCTAGGTGCGACTTGGCTGGAAATGCAAATCGCACAGCGATACCGCAGACACCTGCCACTCGGCCACGTTAGCCTAAACTTCCATGGATTATGCATCTCGCTGCGAAGCCTACCGCCGCAAGCAGCAGGGCCGAGACCTGGACTGACAAATGACGAGAAGAAGCGTCATGCGATATGCTTATGCCATCCGACGCCGTCCATATCATGCAAGCTCATGAAATGGCTACAACAGACCCCAGCTGAGGATGCAACTCTGAGGGCCAGCGCCGGCCAGCTTTTCTGTGACATTGACATCATTGGAGCACGACCGAATTCCTTCTGCTGCTATTATTGCATCTTTCGGTTTCCGCATACATGCTCCCTGTCTCTCAACAGAGAGAGCCTCTGGGCTACCGCATCGCACAAATGGAACCAAAAAGCATGACACCCACGGGTAGACGTCGAAAAACCTAGCAGTTTTCAGCTTCAAGCAGCCTTCTTGGTTTGCTGCGGCGTTTTCTGTGGGCAATTCCGAAACTCACCGGGTCTTACCACAACACATTCAACCGGAATGAAACAAGTGCTTGGCCCATTTTCGCGGGACTGCAAAACTATAAGTTTTCTTTTCGCCGCCAAAATTCAATCCCGTTGTAACTCGAAGAGCTTGCAAAAATCTCCGCAAGCAAAAAACTTGTTTAATGTGACCAAGTACAATTGTCGTGCTGCTAACCACAAACCCCGTAAACGCTCGAGACATTTGAGCTAAAAGCCAGTTAACCGCACAAGAGAAATACTGCAAAATTTGCAAACAAGAACCAAATGAAAAGCTCGTAGAAGAAGCACACAACACGGAGGATCCAAAAAAAATCATTTTTTTTGTCACTGCAAAACACACTCCCGATTGAATGTCGAAGAGCCTGCATAAAGTCTTCGCAATCAAAAGTACCTACAGTCGTTAAAATACGCTTGTTGAGTTGTTGTGCCAGAAGCCAGCTAATTACGCGCTCCGCCGTCACGAGACACGTTGTGCCAAAAGACAGTTCAACGCTCTGCAGGTCAGCAAGACTGTCTGTCTGCTCACAGGAAACGGAAAAAAAACAAAAGTGAGAGGAAATGAGAAGACGTCAAGAGCTCGGCCATTTTGCGAAGATCCTCAAAACTCTGAATCTTCCAAGCACTGCACAACACAACGTGTTGCTACAAACAAAAGCATGCACACATTCCTGTCACCGTCTTGCTGCTTTTTTTTTGCGTGGATGGCCTCGTCGATGGCAGCAGCCGCACTCGGTCCTGAGGTAAGCAACAAAAAGCAACTAAGACCAATAAATCCACCAAAAGCGGTGAAACATGCTGCTTACTGACTTAGTCGGAAAAAGTCGTTCAGCAGTTAACCGCCTCATATGAACAGCAGCGCTCAGATGCCCCGCTTTCCAAATTTCAGGGTCACGCAATGCCCAATCCATCGTCCCGCTCCCGGAATGCATGGATCGCGCAATGGCACATCCGGCAGTGGCAATCCATTGTAGGAAACCAAGCAGAGCAGAGTAGAGCAGCGTCCAAGTATCCAATACCACAAGCCCACAAGCCACTTGAGGTCCATATGAAATAGATTGGACGGACACGGAGAAGATGAGACTGATAAAACGCCCAGAAATGAACGTCTAGGAAAATTTCAAAACCGTATGTCAACAGCCACAAAGGGCTGCAAATATATATAAAAGATTCCAGCAAAAAAAAGTCACTCAATCCGCAATGTATGTG